AACTTTTGTTCATGGACCAAGAGGGAACTTTGCAAGGCATCAACTGTGAGCTCATCAACATCATTAGCTTCCTCAATGGAACACACAATGTAATTCCATTTCTCCGTCAGTGTTCGCAAAATTTTCTCTACGATTTTGACATCTGTCATGTCTTCACCGCAATTTCGCATGTCATTGGCTATGGTCATCACCCTTCCAAAGTAGTCATTGACTGACTCCCCTTGTTTCATAGCCAACACATCGAATTCTCGTCGGAGTCGATTGAGCTGAGCACGTCGAACCCGATCATTTCCTTGGTACTTCATCTTCATGGAGTCCCACAACTGCTTGAAAGTGTCGTTCTTGGTGATGGTTCTCAGAATTGATTTGTCCAAGGATTGGAACAAGTAATTCTTCGCCTTCAAATCCTTAAGTTTCAAATCATCCAGGGTCTTCCTTTGCGTATCTGTCTGCAATTCTCCTTCTTTGGGCAACATGTAACCGTTCTCCACCACGGGCCAATATTCTCTGGATCTCAAGAGATTTTCCATGACCATCTTCCAATGATTGTAATCTCCATCGAATCTGGGAATGGAGGGTACAGAAAATCCACCATTCTTCTCTTCGGATCCCATACCCCAAACACTCTATTTTGTGGTACTCTCACACTTTTGGATCCCTCACACTTTTGAGGTCTTTCTCGCTCTGATACCAGATGTTAGCAAATCTGGTAACTGATGTTTATTAGAATGAAATACTGCTATATAAATAGCTTACAAAAAGGAAAACTGAACTGAATGCTTCCTAAGAATCAGGGCCACTAAGTCATACTTGACTCCCTACAATTTAGGCTTAATTAAAACTAACAACCATGATCCTCTCACGATCAATAGAGACTAAGTCAGTTACATATAGCAAATAACAATTAATAACAATATTAATAATAACATAACAGTCTTTTCGACCATCTTCTTCGTTGGACATCTATTTAGAATGTATACTGCTGTCGAAGCTGCTTCAGTCCAAAATTTCTTAGACATATTCTTAGCTTTCAACATACATCTTGTCATGTTCAGTACACTTCTATTCTTTCTCTCAGCTATGCCATTATGTTGAGGCGTATATGGTGCAATAACCTCACGCTCTATATCTTCCTCATTGCAAAATCTAGCAAATTCAGCAGAAGTATATTCACCACCACCATTAGTTCTTAACTTCTTAAATTTGCAGCCACTTTGTTTCTCAGCATGCAACTTGAACTTCTTGAGCTGTGTGAATACCTCATTCTTCCTTTCAATAAGGTAAATCCACATATGTCCGGTGAATTCATCAATGAAAGTAAGAAAATACCTGTTACCTCTATTGGACTTTACTTCAAAGGGTCCACACACATCTGAATGAACTAGCTCCAGTTTTTGCCTTGATCTTATAGGCAAATCACGTTTGAACGCCTTCCTTGCCTGTTTAGCTTTGCAGCATTCTTCACATATCTGCTTTGGTTCCTTCACATACGGCAACCCAAGCACCATTCCTTTCTTATTGAGCATACATAAACTCTTGAAGTTTAGATGTCCATACCTGTGATGCCATAGCCATTTCTTGTCTTCTTCTGTAGTCGAAGCAAGACATTTGTGATCTGATCTGTTGAGTTCAACCCTGAACGTTTTGTTCTCCGCCAATGGTGCTTTCATTATTAGCCTCCCATCAGTCCTATATACCTTCATTTGATTATTCTCCAACTTCATATTGAAGCCTTTTGCATGTAATTGACCTACACTTATCAAGTTACTTATCATCGAAGGTACATATAGAACTTCAGTGATAGTAGCCTTTTGACCATCCTTTCTGATAGTCGAAATATCTCCTTTACCACCTGACTTGATATGCCTGTCATCTGCAAACTTTATCACCTTTTCGACTGATTCATCTAACTTGGTAAACTTGTTTTTATTGCTAGTCATGTGGTTGCTACATCCTGAATCCAGATACCACATGTTGTTTTTCTCAGTATTCGACTGAGTGTTCACCAGCAACAACACATCATCAGAGTCACTACTTCTAGCTCGTGCATATTGAGCTTCATCACTATCTTTCGACTTTGCAGCTTCTTTCTTCGACAGTCTCGCATAGTGGTCAAAACCTTGACAATTGTAACATTGCACATCTTTCGTATCAACTTTCTTCCCAGAATACTTGTTGCCCACACCTTTCGAATCAATATTCTTGCTTGACTTCTCATCACCAGCAAGATTCTTTCGCTGCTTCGACTTCTCTTTTCCAGCTTTTTTGCTGAATCTTGATTGCAATGCTTGTTCAGTTGTCTTCTCTCTTTCTGAGTTTCTCTGCTGCAACCTCATTTCGTGAGCCTCTAATGAAGCTTGAAGTTCTTCCAACTTCATCTCAGATAGATTCTTGGCCTCTTCAATTGTTACAACAAAGTAATCAAAGTCTGCAATTAAAGATCTCAATACCTTTTCTATCTTTTGCAGATCCGTTAGCGCTTCACCACACGCCTTCATCTGGTTTGTTAACGCCACAACTCTTGAGAAATATGCAGAAATAGATTCATCTTCTTTCATCTGAAGCATCTCATACTGCTTACTCAATGTTTGCAACTTCACCTTCTTCAGTTTTTCATCTCCACCATACAAAGATTTCAGCTTTTCCCAAGCTCCTTTTGCTGTTTCTTCTTCAATTATCTTCTCAAATACATCACAATCCACACACTGGTGAATCAAGAACAATGCCTTGCCATCTTTCTTCCTCTGATCTTTGTGCGCAGCTTTCTGGACTTCTGTAGCATCTTCATCCAGTTGTGATATTCCATCATTCAAGATTTCTACAACATCTTGAAATCTGAAAATAACCTTCATTTGTGCCACCCATCGTTGATAGTTTTCACCTTTGAAAACCGGTAGATTTGCTGGAAACTGTGTTGATGTTGTTGATCTGTTTGCCATTAGATTCTCTCTGAATCGCAAACAAGCTCTTGATACCAATTTGTTGGAACAAAAGATTTAAGAAAGATGATTTTGTGAAAACAAAAAGAAGAAGAAGAAGAGAGGGAGAGAATGATGAGTTAGTTATGTGTAACTAACTATCTAAACTGAATTGTATTATTTGCAGTTACTGCACTTCTATTACAAACACAATGACCCTTTATATAGGCAAAATAGCCTAGGCCAAAATACATGCTAAAAGCCCAAATAACTACATAAAAAAAATTAACCAACTAACACACAAAGCATCATCAAAATCTCAAATTTTATTTTGCTTCAATTGCTTAAATTTTAATTTTGCATCTCTTCAATCTCAGCTCTTGTTGCTGTTTCTATTGGGTGTTGGTTTCTTTTGGATCTTATTTGGTTCATGGTTCTTTCCTCTTTCCAAAACAATTTAGACAATGTTATGGGAGTTTGAAGGGGAAGAGGGCGGAGGATTTTGAAAAAAGAAAAGGATTGAGGGAGAAGAATAGAGGAATTTACGTGGAGAAGATTTTGGGGGATTTATTTTTATTTATAAAACAAAATCCCCCGAATTTGAAGGAATTAAAAAATTGTATTGGATGAGGGGTTTGGAGGACTTAGATAAATTGTTCAAATATAATCCATGTTGTTATAGTATTCTAAAAATTAAAAATATATTAATGATAAACATAGTTTTATCATTCTAATACAAAATCATTATTTCAAAAATTGTTAAAGATTTCTTTATATTTTTTAATTTTTTTCCTGAAGCCTTTCCCTCTCCTCCTAACTCGCAAACATAACCTAATGGTACCGATGATGCTGTTTCAATTGGGTGTTGATTTTTGCTCTGTAATAAGCTGTAGTGTCCATTTTCATTATCGATGCTGAATAACATTAGGTTATGTTTGCTCTGTATTAGTATAAACCTATGTTCTGTTTTCTCAAATAGATTTACTAAAGAAAACAAAGAAATCAAACCCCAACAAACTAAGAAAACCTAATTTAAACCAATCTCAGATCTTATTAAATTTTGAAACTTGGTCAATTTGTATTTTAGCCCAATTGGAGATAGATAAAATCAAATATACACCAAAAAAACCTTTGCCTCATTCAAATTTTTCAAATCACAAAAATTTTTCAAATCACAAAAATCATTCTGTTTTACGTGATCATTATATAGTGACACGGACCAGGATTAATGACACAGACTAATTTTTACAATATACTCATCACTGCCACATCATTAATAATATAGCCACATCATAAAAAATTGATGACCACGAAAAATCCATAACATTAAAATACAAGGATCAAAAAGCCAGTTTTAAAAATAGAAAGATTAAAATATCATTTTGATTAATATATGAGGACCAAAAGTGTATTAAAGTATTATATTTTTTGTTTACTTTTTTATTTATAGAAATTTTTTGTATTTCTCCCTTCTATTATAAATGATTTTCTTCAAAAGCTAATCAAAATAGCATTTCATTATTAGTATAAAAAATCTTCTACAGATGGACCTTTGTTTTTGGGACTAATATTTAAATGAAGTCTGGTTCAGTACATGTTCATCTCATTTTGGATGATAAATACTCCCTCCAAAATGAAATAAATTTAATTCATGTATTTTGGAATGAAATATAAACAAATCTTAACTACTTCTTTCCTATTTAATAATAGCATCTCTACACTACTCCTCATTTACTTTAACTTTTTATATTTTCATTGACTAAATTTATTAATCATGGAGGGTAAATTTTAGGCAATAGACTTAACTTTTATTAAGATTGCATAGATTAAATGTGATCAGCTACCGCTCTTAATATGCGAAGTTTAATCAAATTTTGCTTATAACTCATTCCAGGGAGAGTTTGTAGGTTCAGATTAATTTCACCTACAGTTGTTAGAGAATGTTGGTCAGGCTAGTTTCTTGAGTATATTTATTATATGCAGAATTTAGTTTCAAACCTATTATGCGAGTTTGTAATTTGCTACCTTTCTCCGTTGAAATTATTTTTCTATCTCACATATCATAATGTCAAATTCACACAGGTTAAAGAACAATTGGTCCCTATATTGCGGGATTATGACATGAAACAACAGGTAAAATTGTTTTCTATGGCATGAAGACTTTGGCTTTACTGTGCTTTTGTTTTTGAAAATTGCTACTCACCAGACTGTAAATTTAGATTGTAAATACAGTCAATCGTTGACCAATTGATGCATTAGCTCTATAACATCAATCAACATGTTTCCTACTAAATTTCATAGTGGTATAATTGTGACTGTATAAAGCATTGTCAATAAAACTATGTAAAAAGTGATGCTTGTTGAAATTGTATCGGATTTGGAATTTGTTAAGAGTCCCACATTGAAAATGAAATGGTGTCAATATTTATTTGTAATAGGGTTAGTCCTCAACTTACAAGCCGGTTTTGTAAGGTTGAATTAGATTCAACCACAAGTTCTAAAATTGTATCAGATATAAAGTTGCATGTACTCTAGGATGGCAGTTGCATGTACTCTAGGTCTGATATAAAGTTTTCATTTTTTTGTATATCATCATATTTCAGTACTATATTTGTGATATGGCTATTTTTCCACTTCCACTTTTTTTTGCAGTATGCTTAAAAACATTTCTTCTAATTTGTGTGGCCCAAAATGCAGGCACTATCTTCATATGTTTTCATTGCAGCTAATGTCATTCTCAATTCATCTAAAGATGTTCAATCTAGGCATTTAGATGATTTGTTTCCTCCTCTAGTTCCATTGTTAACTTCACATCATCACAGCTTACGTGGTTTTACCCAGGTTATCATTTATGGCACTAATATTTTTGTTTTTTAATGTCTATATATCTAATTCACACTCAAATAGATAGGTCTTTTATATGCTTGGCTATTTTTGCAGTTGCTTATATATCAAATTCTGCACAAACTGTTTCCAATGTTGAATTATGGATCTTCTGCGGTACCTTTAGAAAAGAGGTGTTTTGTAGATTTGAAAACATACCTTGCAAGGAATTCTGATTGTGCACGGTATTATTATTATTATTATTATTATTATTATTATTATTATTATTATTATTATTATTATTATTATTATTATTATTATTATTATTATTATTATTATTATTATTATTCCTTGTTATACATCCATACATCCATATTTATCCTTAAATCTTTGTCGTAGTTGATTTATGTAGATTTCTAGTTTTAAGGCATATGTAAAAGACTAAGAATGTTTGCCTTTGAGTTTTGACCTAGTGCTCCCAAGCTTTTTCTTTTTTCTTTTATTTTAATAATATTTGGTTAAAGTTGCTCGGTTTGGATGAGGTTGTATGGTTGTCAACTTAGTTCAGATGTTCGTGCCATCTTTTGCTTGACTTTAACTTTTTTTTTTTGGCTTAAATAATAATGTTGCTGCTCTAAACTGAATTTTCCACTTTGTTAGAAAATTGAAAATAAGAGTGGGGTGCCTGTGTCATGTATATTTGAACATCCGAAACATTTGTGTAGATTTGAACATCTGAATCATTTGTGTATATTTGAATACAATTTGGATATTGAAGAGTGTCAGGAACACTCTTTTTCACTCTCTTATTGGATGAAATCCATATGGGTCCCATACTTTGGAAATGAGACCTACATAAAACAGTGTAACCCATATGGATTGCATCCAATAAAAGAGCGAATGAAAGAGAAAATGCTGAAAAAAGTGTTTCTAGCACTCATGACTACGTTCAATGAATGGGTGAATGAATTGCAACACTTTGTCATGTATATTTGAACATTTGAAAACCGTGGTTAATTACATTCTGTGAATGGGTGGGTGAATGAGTTACAACACTTTCCGTATTCATTAACCATTCGTATTTAAAATGTGTTAACCATAGAAACTATTGTCGAAATTCGTTGTCAAAATACCATTTCTGTTTTTTATTTGGATTGGGCTTTCAATCAATAGTAAGATTCTACCTAATTATTAGTACAAATGAGTGTTGGGGCTTTTTATTTTATTTATGCCATGAAATCAATCTGTTATCATATATTTATCCTCTACATAAACCCTACTGTTTAAACATTTTGTAATTTGGGCTGCAAAAGCTGATTTACAACTTTCTAATGAATTGTACTCGTTAATTTATGTTATCTTCTTTTTCAGCTTACGCGTGTCAATGGAAGGATACCTCGATGCTTATAATCCAAATTGCTCTGCCTCGCCTGCTGGAATATTCATCAATCGAGTTGAGGTGAGAATTTGTGTGCACTGTATTATTGGATAACCATACTAAAGTTAACATTAAACCCGCCATTAAAAAAAGTTACTATAGTTAACCTTTGGGGAAAAAAAAACCTCTTAAAACTCCAAAATATCTTTTAGATATACATATTCGAACGAACCTCGGATATGTATATCTGAAAATCCCTTGTTTACATGTTATAATTATTTAAACGTTGGATTTAAACATTCGGTGGTATTTTCGGATATGCATATCTGAAACACTAAATCGGTGTTTCGGATATGCATCTCCAAAACCCTGGGCAAAATGTGTTTGTGACATAGTATTTTATAAAACATCAATGTCGGTACCTAATAAACACAATGATTTGATACATAATTCATTTAAATAATATCGAAAAACAGAAATAACGAAAACCGAAAATGATACGAACAAAAATCGTCCAGAAATACCAGAAATTAATACATAAATTGTTTAGAAAGTACAGAATGTAAAATAATTACATCGGTAAATATAAAAAAAGACATAGTTTACTGCGTAAGCGTAATCTTAACCCCCTGGCCCCTCCTCTGTCTCCTGTAAGCCGCTGCACTCGATGCCTCCCTAACCATCCTCTCTACGATGGCCACCGCCTCAAGACCGCCCCTCTCAACGATTTCTAAGTCCAAAGCCTCCGGCCCAATCATGTGTATCCGCTGACAGATCGACAAGACATCAGTGGCATGGTCATCCTGAGCCTGCGGGTTCTCCAAGATCTCCTCATGAAATGGTCCAGGAGCATCCGATGTCATAATAGGGTGTGATACTGTGTAGAACCCTGTCACATATCCCTGTACACAATGCCAATTGCTGGATGCCCGCATCATCTGACACTCTTCTGATTTTGAAGTGTTGTTGAAATGAGTTGAAAATGTGCTTTGATCTTCAAATGAATTGAAAGTTTTGCTCAAAATTTCAAAAAAGAGAGTTGGAAAAGGGAGTTAGAATTTAGAGAGTTATGGAAAAAAGATGTTCTATTTCGCAAATTTGTATATATTAATACGATTCGGATATGCATAACCGAACACCCATTGTAATTAAATTTTGGGATTGATTCGAATATGAATATCCGAATCAACCCCTATAAACATGTAATGTGGTGAGTTCATATGCATATCCAAATTCAGGAGATATTATGGAAATTTCGCGAGAGGCCTCTAAGAAAGTGCAAGGGTGTATTAAGAAATTCTCAAAACTAGCACATGGGATAAGGTTTGCTCCCCTCATGTCCAGAGTTGGACATTTGAAGTGTGAAATTTGCAAGACAATAATGTGTAGGCCAAAAACAGTTCTAGGTTAGTCTAATACCATTTTAGAAAATAAGCTTGAGGTTTGACAATTTTTCTGAATTTGCCTTTTTGTGAATTAGCATTTGTAGAAAAGCATATGGGTGATAATTATATATTTTATTATGAAGGAAAAGTCTCCTTTTATAGGAGAGAAAATACAAAGTCAACTCCTTTATTTTAGGAGTGATATAATGACTCTTAAAGTAACATAATGACTCTTAAATAAGAAAATAAATAATATTAAATAAGAGATATTTCAACACCCCCTCAAGTTGGTGCATAGATGTCAATCATGCCCAACTTGCTGATCAAATATTAAAATGTTGTTCTTCTTAAGCTTTTGGTCAATATATCAGCGGCCTGTTGATTGGAAGGAATAAATGACAAGCAGAGAGTACCAGAGTCATTCTTTTCTTTGATGAAATGACGGTCGATCTCGATATGTTTTGTACGATCATGTTGAACCAGATTATGAGCTATGCTTATAGCTGCCTTGTTGTCACAATACAATTTTAATAGGGGTTCTACCTCTCCCTTCAGTTCTTTTAGGACTCAGAGTTCACATACCTTCACAAATTCCTTGGGCCATAGCTCTAAAGTCACAGCTTCAACACTACCTCAAGATTCTGTGCACAACTTCAAGGCGTTCTTCATATGGTGCATGCATGAATTGACTCACAACACTAACAGAGAAAGCAATGTCAGGACGAGTATGAACCAAATATATTAATTTTTCAACCGACCTCTGATATCTTCCAGTGTCGACTGGTGTTCCCCTTTCTCCCAAAGTTTGGCACTTTGGTCCATCGGTGTGTCGGCGGGTTTACAACCACTCACACCTCTCTTGTAGAAGATCAAGAACATGTTTTCTCTGAGAGACAACAATTTCTTTCTTTGACCTTGCTACTTTCATGCCAAGGAAATACTTGAGTGGACCCAAGTCTTTGATTTCAAGATCTGCTGCTAAGTTTCTTTTTAATCTCTCCATTTCTATCTCATCCCTTACCTGTAAGAATAATATCATCAACATAGACTATCAAAACAATTATCATTCCATTTTGACCTGACTTTGTGAATAAAGTATGATTTGCTTGTCCTTAGTATATTCATGTTTCTTCACAGACTGAGTAAACTTTTCAAACCAAGCTCTCGGAGATTGTTTCAACCCATACAAGGACTTCTTTAGTTTACACACCTGTGACCCTAAGGTTTCTTCAAAACCTAGAGTACAGTCCATATATACTTCTTCTTCTAAATCACCAGTGAGAAAATCATTTTTGACATCTAGCTGATGCAGAGGCCAGTCTAAGATAAGAGTATTTTGATTGTGTTAAGCTTTGCAAAGGAGCAAAGGTCTCTGAGTAATCTATGCCATAGGTCTGAGTGAATCCTTTTGTAACCAATTGAGCTTTGTACCTTCCGATTGATCCATCAAAATTGTACTTTATTGTGAACACCCACTTGCATCCCACAGTTCTTTTACCTGCTGGCAGAGTTGTGAAACTCCATGTTTTATTCTTTTCAAGAGCTTTCATCTCTTCAAAAATAGCTTCCTTCCACTTTGGAATTTCTAGAGCCTCCTCTACATTCTTAGGAATTTTGACACTAGATAGATTAGAAGTAAATGCAACAAAAGAGGGAGACAAGTTTGAATATGATACAAAGTTAGACAAGGGGTGCTTAGTACATGACCTATCTTGCTTTCTAAAGGCTATGGGAACATTAAGATCAATATATTGTTTCCTAATTTCTCTAGGGACATCAAGGTTGGTATATAGAGAATTAGGATCAAGGAGAGATTTACTTGTCTGAGTCAGTTGACTTTCACTCGGTTCAGATTCTTGGCTGAACTGAGGAATAAGTCTTCTACTAGTTGATCATTGTTTCTTCTGATATAAATTTTGCTTTTCCAAATTGGATTTCCTTCCTGAAATCTTTTTTTTATCTCATTGTAAGGATCTTTATCTGGTGCATTTTGATTAGTTTCAGAAAAAACATTTGTTTGATCTTTGTTTTGATTTGTTGCCTTGGATTCTGATTGATCCTTACTCGTGAAAGGAGTAGGTTCATCTAATTTTTTCAAGGCATTTTCTTTAGGTGCAAATGTACATGGAACAAAATTATGTGATATATACACATCTTCTGAGATAATTAAGTTTTCAAACAATTCAGGAGAATCTTCATTTGTTCCCCCCCCCCGAAGATGATCATTACCAAAAAAAGGTTTGTTTTCAAAAAAAGTAACATCCATTGTTACAAATATTTTCTTTGTATTAGGATCAAAATATTTATAACCTGTTTGAGAAGATGAATACCCAATAAAACACATTTGATTGCACGGGGTTCAAGTTTACCAAGATGCTTGTGTTCGTGAACAAAAGTAGTGCATCCAAATATTTAAAGTGGTAAATCAGATAGAACCGAAGCAATTGGAAAATATTTCAAGAAAATTTGCAAAGGAGTTTGAAATTTCAAAACACAGGATGGCATACGGTTTATTAAAAGTGCAGCTGCCAAGACAGCTTCACCCTATAAATATTTAGGAACATAGGTAGAGAAGAGTAGTGCTCGTGCAATTTCAAGAAGGTGCCGATTTTTCCTCTCTGCAATCCCATTTTGTTGGAGTGAGTTAACACATGAACTTTGATGCACAATTCCATTTTCAAGAAAAAAATTTCCAACAATTTTATTAAAAAATTCAGTACCATTGTCAGTTCTAAACACTTGTATTTGGGTGTTAAACTGTGTCTGCACCAATTTACAAAAGTTTTGAATTATTTGGCCTACCTCAGTTTTCTTTCAACAAGTATACCCAACAAAATCTAGTATAATCATCTGTGAAAATGATAAATCAATTTTTGTTGGATAAAATACTTGTTCGATTAGGCCCCCAAACATCTGTATGAATCATTGAAAAAGGTTTTGAAGGTTTATAAGATTGAATTGGAAAAGATCTTCGATGATGTTTAGCAGACTCACAAACCTCACATTGAAGTGAAGAAATGTCTTATTCAACAAAAAGTTTAGGAAACAATGAACTTAAATATTTAAAACTAGGGTGGCCTAACCTTAAATTCCATGTAGTAGAATCCACCACTTTCCTCAGCAGTGCCAATCGTCCTCCCCGAGATCAAATCCTGAAATACACAATGAGTATCAAAGAAATGAGCTTAACAATTTTTATTTTGGTTAGCTTACTTACAGATAATAAGTTGTAAGACAAATTTGGGACATGTAACACATCTTGGATGGTTAGTAAGGGAGACAAAACAATAGAACCTTTTCCTGCCACGATTGAAAGAGAGCATCAGCTATTTTAATTTTGGAATTTCCTACACATGGTTTATATGAAAAAAATAAACTGGATATACCGGTCATATGATCGGTGGCCCAGAATCAACGATCCATGTACGATTAGGAATATCTGGGCTATGGAGCACGAAGATGTTTGAGACTCGAGGAGTTTGTACATTTGGTTTAGCTGTTTCTTAGTGAATGAAAATGTATTTGGGGAAGACCGTGGCTCTTGATCAAAAGTTGCTTGAAGTGCACCCACCCTCACCCTTCTTTTTCCAATTAGGAGGCTTTCCATGAATTTTCCAACAAGTCTCATGTGTGTGATAACAACGTTAGCAGTGATCACACCAGAGTTTACCATCTTTCTTACCATATTTCTTGCCGTTTATTGAAGTTCACAAGAGCAGAACCATCAGTTGCTGAGTTTGACTTTCCAATCATTACTCTGTCTAGCCTCATCCCTTCTGATTTCTGAAAAAGTTTCTCGGATAGTTGGCAGCGGATTATTTCCAAGAATTCTACCTCTTACTTCATTGAATTCCTTGTTGAGACCTGCAAGAAAAATAAAGATACAGTCGTTCTTCTGCGTCTTAATAAACTGGACACTGTCTTCAGTACACCTCCAGTTATAATCATAGCACTGATCCAACTCTTGCTAAAGGGCCATCAATTCATTATAGTAGGTAGTGACATCCGTGTCATTCTGCTTTAAATTCCATAACTTTGATTTTAGATCATAAATTTGAGAAACTTTTAATATCAGAGTAAGACAGTTTTACAGCTTCTCAAACATCTTTTGCTGTAGGCAGATACAAGTATGTTTTTTTGTCATACCTACCTCCATAGTATTAATAAGTCAAGCAATAATAGAAGAGTTTTCAAGTTTCCAGAACATGTAATTAGGATGTGTTGTTGGAGGCACCAGAGCATCACCAGTAAGAAAACCCAACTTCCCTTTGCCTTCTAGAATAATTCAAACAGTTTGGGACCATTCAACGTAGTTTGAGCCATCCAATTTCTGAACATTAACCTGAAGAGAGTTGTTTTGACCTCCACCTCCTGAGTTACTGTAACCACCATCAAATGGGTAGCCATAACCGGACCCAAAAAGGTTGTTGTTGTGATCACCTCTGCCATAACTGAATCCGCCGTTAAAATTCTTGTTTGTTATGAAACTGGATATTTCTGGCATGGTAAATCCACTTCCTCTGCCGGAATTGTTGGTGCTGTCGGAATTGACGTTGGCGCCGCCGTCGGAATTGTTGTTGGCGCCTCCGCCTCCACAACCTCTGGGAGGAGGTGGTGTTTGGGTAGAATGCACCATAGTTTGGATCAGTCGGGTCGGATAAAAGAACGGGTCATCAGAAAAAAAATTTCCAAAGCGATGCCCCGAACCCCACTAGTTAGGGAAAACTTTACAGTATCACCCTAGCCCTAACAGAGCTCTGCTACCATGTAGAAAAGCATATGGGTGATAATTGTATATTTTATTATGAAGGAAAAAAGGGCTCCTTTTATAGGAGAGAAAATACAAAGTCAACTCCTTTATTTTATGAGTGATATAATGAGTCTTAAAGTAATATAATGCCTTTAAGTAAGAAAGTAAATAATACTATATGAGATATTTCAACAGCACCTAACAGAATTTAATTTATACATATAAAGATTACAAGGATTATTCTGAAGTAAAATTTCCATGAAATAATTAAACTATCTCTATCTTCCCTGAAATGCATTGTTATTATTATATTTGTTGTCCAAGGAATCAAAACTACATTGAATGTGGACCTATTTCCAACAAAACCTTTAGCTGCTACACTTGCTTGCTAATGCCTAGAAGGACCATTAGCAATTATTATCAACACTTATATTTTTTATATAAGATTCATACTATTTCTATTCAAAATCCTCTGGTCTTTAATGCTTAAATTGCATATCCCTTGAAGCATATATGTCAGAACTGGATAAATTCTACATTCCCAAACCTCTGCTCCAATATCTCAAATATATAAACTTGTAAGATATTTATGCCTTTATAGATGATAGTTTTGTTAATTCTCTTTTTGTTTGTTGTGCTAAGGAAAACGATTTTGAGTGTGTTCCAACGTGTCTCATGGACCATGTTCTCAAATTTTTAAATGTAAGTACTTTGTCATACTTCCCTATTTAAATAAGATATGCTATAACTTTTGTTTTATCCTGTGAGTTTTTCTCCCCAATCATTGCAGGATGCTAGACAAGACTTACGAAGTTCAATGGCAAAGGACGTGGTAGCTATCAGAAATGAGACTCTAAAATTTAATGGAGAGAATTGCATGAAAAAATTATCCAGTGGTAGTGAAGCAACTTTATTTAAGGATGTGTCCTCGGATTTCCAGAAAAAAATTACTCTTACCGAACATGGTGCGGGGGATAATAATGGAGGTTTCCATTATGGCAATGATGAAGCTTACAGAAAAATGGCTGGTATGTTTTAATTTTTTTTTGCAATTAGTTAAAATTAGAATTCTATTGTAACTGAAACCATCCGTGATAACTGTAATTGTACTTTTATAAATAGCGGGTGGATATAAATAATTTAGTGTTGGGCGAATCGAATTAAACTCATACTATATTATGTTTTTATATTAAGCCTTATGTCATCCAATACGAGACTCTTAACACATCCACACCCCCTTCGCACCTAGAACTGAACATATGGAGCGTGGTCCAATAGCAGTGACCTGATAGCACGCGGTCCAATGAATTTTGAACCAGGCTATGATACCATCTTAAAATTTAGAACGTGTTAGGTAAAACACACCTCCACTTATAAACGCGTGTTTAGGCCTTATCTCATCAAATGTGAGAGTCTTAACAATGTCCATGTTGTGTTGTAACTGATGTCTGTGTTTTGTGTTGAGTTTCATAATTTCGTGCCTACCATAATTTCATTTTTCAATATCAATGTGACAGAGATAGAAAAGGATGATCTCCTTCTGGACCAATTATTACAGTCAAGAAGATCATCTCTAGATCAACAAAAAGCAACTCGACAGAGTTTCATCCTTGTAGCATCACTTCTTGACCGCATACCCAATCTTGCTGGCCTGGCACGTACATGTGAGGTAAGTTAGTTACACACACTGCTCCATTTCCCAATATTATCTATATTGTTCTATTCTTTTCCTCTTATGTTTCCGAACAAACTTCACTCCAATTTTTAATGCAGGTGTTTAAAGCATCAGGGCTAACCCTTGCTGATACAAACATCATAAATGACAAACAGTTCCAACTAATCAGGTTTTCATGATAGTACAGTAAAACTTTTATTTTTTCCGCCTTTATATTAATTATTTTAAATGTTCAAATCTTGAGAGATCATGGAGTTTTTATGATGGGCCTGACTCGTGTATCTTTGAACTGACTGCTCAATATTTCACGTATTTTTAACTGCTAAAGGCAAATGAAACCACCTCTAACTCTGAGGGAACAACAGTCAACCACATTCAAACATCTTTGACTCCATCTGAATTTCCAGTTCATATGCTCATCAACATCCCCATGAATATAAACTTGTGTGCCAGTAGAATCCTAAAAAAGTGACAAGATTCTGGATTGGTGGTTGTTTTTAATAGAAAATTTATCTACTTGTTTCCATTGCCTTTTTAAAATTAGATTGTAGTCAATAAAAAGTTATAAATACATCAGAAGTATAAGTGTATACACATCTTTAAGGTGTGTACACTAACTATCCATTTGTTGAGGATGCTGCTTGGATAAACGCTATGGATACACACTCTTCAAGGTGGTTACTGAGTCGGGATCTGAAGGTGCTTGGGTTCGTTTGTTACTTCTTCTCCGTTGCACTTTACAGGTGGTCAAATCTCAGAATAGGCGTGATCATAGATCTGGGAATCGGAAAACCTTGCAACATCACATTCTGGAGTGCTTAACTACTTGGAGGGATGCAGATGGTATTTCCAAGTTAATTGATAGTGTGTTGGATAGCTCTGAGCAAGAGAAGTTGAGCCATTGAGGAGTTCATATTGACGAGGGAGATGCAAAAGTGAGCTCTAATGTCAAGCAATGCCTTCGTAAGGTTGCAGATGACCATTTCACAGCAGTTGTGAAGGTGTTGGATTCTTCTGGTGTCGCCTCCAATAATGCACATACTATGAAGGCTTTGAAGGCTAAACACACATATAAATCACCTCACTCCATGCCGACCACATTGTTCCTTGAAGCTCCTCTAGTGGTTGAAGTGGATACAGTTTTCAGGTGCATTAAGTCATTCCCCAAAGGGACTTCATCTGGTAGAGATGGTTTACGAGCTCAACCATTATTGGACGCAATGTGTGGAGAGGGTTCTGTTGTGATCTCTTATGCACAATCGCTCAAGTTGTTGACTTATGGTTGGGGGGGAGATATGCCCGATGAGTTTGACAGAGTTTGTTGCCTCAACACCTTTGACACCGTTATTGAAGGGGGTCAGTAAGGATGTGGCACGACATCTCAATGACTTCCAATATGGGGTCGGGGTATCGGTGATGCTGAGACCATTTTGCATAGTGCCCAACAGGGTATTGAGCAAGCGGCATGGAGATGACTCTTTGACTATGCTCACGGTAGATTTCACGAATGTTTTTAATATGGTAGATTGATCAGCCATTCTGCAAGAGGTGAGGGTGAGATGCCCATCTATTTCTTGTGGTTGAGGTTCTTTATGGTCAGGCAACAAGGTTATACCTCGGGGATGGGCCTATCATGTCAGCCACTGGAGTGCAACAAGGTGATCTGTTAGGGCCACTCCTTTTTGCCCTTGTGTTACACCCACTTATTCATCAAATCAGTGACAAATGTAAGCTTCTTCTTCATGCCTGGTACCTCGACGATGGGACCATCATAGGGGATTCTAAGGATGTGGCTAAAGCCCTTGACATCATTCGGGAGACCGGTCTAGGATTAGGGTTCATATTGAATATTCATAAAACTGAGATCTTTTGGCGTTCGTGTCATGATAGTAAACTTTGTGGGGAGTTGTTTCCTGCCGACATTGGGAGACCGATGTTAGGGATGAAGTTACTTGGAGGGGTTGTTAGTCGAGATGAAGGTTTTATCGAGGGTTGTCCATGAAGAGAGCGACTAGGACTGTTGAGCTCATGCATCTCCTGCCACAACTAAGGGATCCTTAGAGGGATCCTTGAATTGTAAAACTTAAAACAAATGGCTTGACAAAACAGTATTTTTATCCTGGTTCGTTTGATCTCAAACTACTCCAGTCCACCCGTCAAGGTGATTTCGCCTCTCTCCAACGAGGTCTTAATCCACTATTTTCAAAGAATTACAACAACTACTTTAACAACTGTTAAAATCTTCTTGAGTACAACCACAATCCGGTTAATCTCAAGGAACTTCTTTTACAAATGAATTGAACAAGTGTGTATTGTTGTTTTCTTACAAAACTGTATATCACAACTGTGATAATTACACAAAATAAGATTGAAATAAAATGACTTTGCTAAAGCTTTGAATGAGCGTGGTTTGAATAGCTTAGCAAAATTGGGTGCGTACGTACGTGCTTCTTTTCACAAGCAGTCCTGTTTATATAGGCAAGCAAAGATACGTTGTCCATAAAGCAGGTTTAATGATAATAATGCACTTTCCTTTTGTAGAAGATCTTTGTCTGAAGAAAGCCTTTAGCATTTAATTCAGTCTTGAATAACCAGTAATGCTTCAGAATCTTCTTTGTTGTATCTGCTGATAACGCTTCAGAGTGTTGATGACTTGGTAAAGATGTCTTTGATCAGAGTCAGAGTGTATTTGTTAAGGCGCAGATTCTGGTCATCAAACTTCAGTGTTTCAGCGTGTAACATAGGTTGTTGATCTTCTGATGCTGATTCCATCAGAACTTCTGCATATACAAAGCATAATTTTAAGGAGCATAATTGTTCTTTGTATATACTTTAGAAATAATATTATTCTATGTATTTTGTTATCATCAAAACTTTAACCAAGGGTTGTAGAATCAAACTATGTTCTAACACCCTCATACGCGTTTGTGGCTTCTAGGGCTCAATCTTGGGTGTTACAGGATCATATTATAAGAGATAGTGGAGTATACGATATGGACCTTGATTTCAACAGTGTTAGATGGTCTTAGTGTTGTAATTCCGGATTTTGACTTAAGCAGTTTCACTAGAAAGGACACCGCCCCTCCTAAAGCACAACATATTTTGGCGAGTGCCCTTTTTAGTAAAAGTGTTTAGGACATGGAAGTTCAGTTTGACATGACAACAAGGCAGGAAGTTATTTTTGATTGTTTGCAAACATCACATGCTCAAGATTTTCTCCTTGCTATCCCTATTGACGGTCTAGGCCAACATATGTCTCCGGTAGAGTACCGTACCATCCTTAAATACCGTCATATGATTCCCTTATTTTCCGTTGATGAGGTTTGCCCTATTTGTCGCAAGGCGTGTTTGAATACATATGAGGAACACACTATCCATTGCAAAGAGCTTCCAGAATTCAAATATCGACATGACTTTGTTAGGGATGTCCTATTTGATATGTTTAGGCGTGCAGGAGTATATGTGAAGAAAGAAGCGCCTGTGAATTTCTTGACTAATCCACAGGAGGGGAGATCAACTCTTAGGCCAACAGATGTTCTGGTGTATGGATGGGTAAGAGGAAAACTTGCATGCGGAGATTTGATCGGAGTTTCTCCACTGACTGAGGTCTGGAGGTTTTACTGTGGGACATGCAGCTCTTAATGCCGCTTCAAGTAAAGTGGCCAAGCACGAGAAAGCATGTTCCGACAACCAACATGCTTTTATACCATTCACCTTTGACACTTTTGGTTTTCTAGCACCAGAAACGGTGAAACTTTTACAGAGAGTGCAAAGGTTCATGCATAACAATATTGTGTCACCTAGGAACATGAATATAGTTTCTAAAAAAATTGGTTTTGCCGTCCAAAAAGAGGTAGCGGCGTAGCTTGTTGCCCGTTTGCGTGCTATTTCCGTATAATCTTGATTATTATATATAAGTGTTTTTGTTATAACATTAATATTCTCTTTGCTTATTAATTTAAAACAACAAATTTCATCTTCTTGAATTGACTTCATGTGTGATGATTTTAGTAATGGTTTTAATCCCTAAATTTTCCGTTGACATCCCTAAATTTTACTGAGCAAATGAAAAAAGAATGAGTAGCCCTTTATGTTAGCGGAATCTTTCTTGATATATGTTTTCGAAATGGTTTTAATGCTTTGAATTATAAGTGCCAATCATTCACTTGATTATTGTTTACAGCGTGACAGCTGAAAAGTGGGTGCCTATCATAGAAGTCCCAGTAGATAGCATAAAGACATATTTACAGAAGAAAAAGAGAGAAGGATTTTCCATCTTGGGTTTGGAACAAACTGCCAACAGTGTACCTCTTGATCAGTATGTCTTTCCCAAAAAAACGGTAAGCTGTGTATCAAATTCCAACCTTCCAGTCTTAATATTTTGTTATAAGATTGCTGAAATGAAGTAATATTTAGAGGGGGACAGGGTATTTTCCTTTATTAAATAAGAGAGTCTAAAATATATAATCTAAATTACAGAATTAGATGTTGAATCTCCTCATTGATCTATTCTCGTAATATTTGAATGATGAAAGTGGAAAACATATGGGGATAAGTTATGCAAGTGCATGCCTTAATATCAAAAGAAATTGATTCCTGGAGACCGTAACTGATGTAATTATTTTAGTATTGAATGGCCAGTGAACAATATGATGTTACTGATAATTAAAGGACTGGTGTTGATAGCACTTGTCATATCGGATATACTTGGAAGACTGAAATAAATATGTAACAGATACTAGTGAACTTCTACACATTTTTTCATCTTTTAGAAAAAGTAAAATTATTTGTGGTTGCTCTTTGTCACTTAGGGTCTCCCCTTTATATTTATTGGTTGGACGCTGTGACCCGGTCTCTGTTATTGCTTATATTTTCTTCCTGTTTGATGCCACGGATTTCTGGCATGACTTTTAAGGTTTTTAAGAATATTCTTTGGTTGTTTACTCAGGTCCTAGTTCTCGGCCGAGAGAAAGAAGGTATACCTGTGGATATAATCCATATTTTGGATGCTTGCGTCGAAATTCCCCAATTTGGGGTTGTGAGATCTCTCAACGTTCATGTCAGTGGCGCTATTGCTCTCTGGGAATATACTCGACAACAGAGATCTAAATAGTCTGACTCGTAATCAATCTTAATATTGGGAATTAAGGTCTGTCCATCAAGATAGCTCTCAGGCTATATAACCTTTTGGACAGGCTATTAAATTAATCTCCTGTTTAGTTACACGCGCTAGAACTAATTTGTTTGTTGGATTTTGCATCTTCCAACCAAGACGCTTCTTAAGAATTGAACTCGGGTTCTCTTTCTAGAAGAGGTCAGTAGAGTGTACATTCCCTCCAACCAACTCTGTTTGTAATATTTGTTGTATTTTACCAAGGATTGGAACCACTTGCAGTAAGAGGGTATCTCCTTACAAACTTTTTGTATACCTCAAAACAATGGTTCAGGTTAATAGTTTGATCAAGATATGTCAATTGTAATGGTTGTTTTCTGTATTAAACAAATATGTGGCTCTGATTAAAGTCAACTTTAGAAATGTCTTTGTTATTTAAAGTCAACTTATATCTATGGATTTCAATAAATTTAATATACCTTTAAGATATGAATTCAGATTAAATATACTCAATGGATCGTCAATAAAATAAGCAGATAGTCTTGTTCTATCTACCCTTTAATTAAAATAGTGAATATGATTATTTGAAAGAGGAAAATAAGGGATTATCATTTTATGATTAAAGGGATTTAGACAAATAAGTAGTTTGGATGTGGTTCTTTTTAATTGATTAGCTTTGTTACGTTAAACTAACAAAAAGAAAGGAGGGACTTATTTTCCTAGACAATTTGTACACGAGGGTAAAGCTCTAGATTGGAATTTTCGTACACTACTAAAATTTCATAGCTATTGCATCCCATAAACGACAACATAATTGCTGAGTAAATTACATGAAGGAACTTGTCAATGATCAACTTGATTGTAAGACAAGAACTTAAACCTAATTAGTTCATGATATATTATTGTCGGATACTATGCTTTTATGCTTTTATATATATATATATATATATATATATATATATATATATATATATATATATATATATATATATATATATATATATGTATGTTTAGATAGTTTTTTATCTTTGACTTATTGCACATATATTTATGCTTTATTTCCTATTTTATATTGCAATACTAGTATTAAATTTCCTTTAAATTATCCTATTCTCTTCTTTACAAGTAATCTCTTTTATACTTGAATCCATATTTGAGGCTTTACACCTTGAGACAAGTGAACAGTCACCCCAGAATTGAACTTCAGCTCATCTGCACGTCGAAAATACTTTCTCAACGAAACATTTTCCTTTGCTTACCTGACAATAAAACATACATTGCATAAAACTATCGGAAAAAAAAAACATACATTACAGATTATCATAGTGGGACTAATTAGTATGTAATCACACACTATTTTAAATTTTGCATTCATATGTACCTGCAATTTTTCAAATCCATTTCCTGAAATTCCTTGCTTCTTCTTTTTCTCCTTTTTTGGGTCATTTGACCATGATCTTAATAAGAAGCTTGGAACTAGAAATTTCCAATTTCCAAAGCAAGATGACGTTCCTTCATGCTTTGGCTGCTTCTTGATAGAATTCAACTGCGAAAACAAACAAAGAAACACAGCCATTCCATAATTTTTAACATTAAATAATATTGTGCTGTATTACCGAAACCTTAGTTACACATTAGGAACATGTAGTATGTCATAATCTTAAACAATAACTTTATAAATCATAGACTTTAATTCCATTGTAAAATGTTTATTATTGCAAAGAAAATGTTCATAATGACAAGAGAAAATGACTTTCAATTAGACATGCAAGAGACCAAAATGACCTTACTTGTGAAGATATTAATTTTAGAGGGATAAAGATTCTAATCACAATACATTAGGTAGAAGAACAGTTAATGTTACCTGATTTGTGGGTTGGATAGTATTGTTTACCGAATAATTAGGGAGTAATGGCATGAATGGTGATGTTCCTCCTCTTACAGAATTCCGAAGAAGACGTGAGTACATGAGCAATCCTGATTTTCTATTGTATCCTTTACTGCTACTTGAGCCATCATTTACTTCTTGTGTAACAGTGTGATGAATATGATAATGGTGATGATGATGGTGATACTGATGAATTGATGATGATCTCTTCTTCTTAGGCTTCTCAACATAAACTTTTACTAACACTGTCTTATCATTGCGGTAACTTACCTACAAATTATCAAACGAGTAAATTAACAAAACATTAATAAAAAAATGTACAAGTAATTATTTACCTGTTTAGTACTAGGCATTTTTGGAACAAGGAACCAAGCATGTGTGTTTGTAAGGATTTAATTATGTTTGGTTTTGGTTCAGTATTTTCATTCTACTATGATAGCATCGTCATGCTATGCTATGCTATGCAGGCCTAGAGTAGCTAGGAGATGTTATCTATGTTACTAAGTAGTAATGAGTTAAGCTAAGAGAATAATGCAAATTTATATGTTTGGATGAAATTGGAATTAACCAAACTATGATGTGTGTTAAAAAATCATAATGTAATTATCAATTTTTCGTTGTCAACAATGTTGCGGCCCAATTATGGTGTGATTAAATACGATTAGCTTGAGAACATGTCACCCCGTTTTATACCTATCATTTCTAGACATTACATATTTACCAAATTGTCTCTGAAATTTATTAGAATTTTCGATTCTGTATCGGAAATTTTATGTAAATATTATAAAAAATTTTAAATTTTTAAATTTTTACCGTGTTAATTTTGATCGTAACCGAAAATTTTAAATTTTTGATACCGAAATTTTAAATTTTCAGTGTTTTTCCTTGTTATATAAATATATCAGAAATTTTAAATTTTCGATGTGTGAAAAATATCAAAAATTTAAAATTTACAATGTTTTTATTTTATTATAAAACTTCATCTATAGATATATCAGAAATTTCAAGTATAACTGAAATTTCTGATATACTAGAAATTTAAAATTTCCGTAAAAAATTTGTATCAGAAATTTGTTAAAAACAAATTTCTGGTACGTGTAGAGACTTTTCTAAAATTTTACAAAAGATTTTAAAATTTCCGATAAATTGTAATTGGAAAATTTAAAATTTCTGATATATTACTATTGGAAATTTGTAAAATATAAAGAATTTCTGATATGCGACAAAAACCGGTACCGAAAATTTATTAAGAGCAGCGGAAATTTTGGAAATTTATTCCTTTAATCAATAGTAATTTTTTTAACTAAAAATAAATTTTTTAGAATAAATATTAAAAAGAGTATTAAAAATACTGAAATTTGGGAGGGTGGTTGTATAATATGAGAGTGACATATTAATTTCTCCTTTAACTTACACGTGGGATCTTATGGCCTGCTTGCCTCTTTTTATTTTCTTCTTTGCCTTACTTTCTAATTTCATTGTCACATTCACCCACTCACTGATTTTTTTAACTACTTTTCATTCTCAAAATAACTACTAAGTCTTTGAAATAAAATAAAGAACAATAACAATTCAAATATAAATCTTTAAGTTGCTATTAAAAAAAGATTGGACACATAGGTTCACAAGTAGCATTGAGATTTCGGGAATAGCTTAAGGCATTCTATATTTGATATTACACCTCATGAAAAATTAAAAATAATTTTAAATTTTAAAAATGTAATTTTGGAGAAACCTTAAACATATTCGTTTTTGAGTCAGATCTAAGGGTTATGCAATTTTTTAATGAAAATACATCTCTGTGTAATTTATGAAGATGTATTTTCAGACGCTGTTTAATCAAAAACGCGTCAGACTCTTTCTCCTTTTTTACTTTTCAAAATACTCTCTCAAACTCTAAACCTCTCAAGTCTGAAACTCTCTCAAATCACAAACTCTCAAAATCATTCAACTCACTTCAAATCTTCTTCCATCAACATCTAATCGATCAAAGAGATCACTCCACATCAAACTAACTTCACATTTGATAAGTGTTTACAAATATTTTTTTAGTAAATAAATCACAAGTTTTAGTTCACTTAAGAGATTAAACTCGAAAAAGTCCTAAGGACAATTTGTGTAAAAGTTTGAGGAAGTGCATTCATGCTTACATGTTTGACATTTGAATTTAAAGCCATTGTGTATAAATTCTAAGAAGTAAAGTGCAGAATTCCTCGAAAGGATAAAGTTAATACAAAAAGATGGTAAAAACAATTGAGTAAAAAATGTTTAAATTAAAAATAGAACACAAGTTCGTACATTTCTCACAAATTCTTTATCTTTATGACTTGGATGTGTGAATTTTAAAGAGAGTAGAATGAATATGTGAATCCTTGTCACAAAGATCAAATGTACTTATATAATAATTATCGAAAACAATTACATCTCTAGGATTCGACGTGTATCATGTGTCTTTGCTTCTTGAGCTGCCTTAAACTGCTCCCACAAACTGCCTTCAAATCCTCTAATTCCCCTGGTCGAAAAGTTCTCTTATCGAATCTTGAGATCTAGTATCAAAATGCCTTTAAATCGTCTAATCCTTTGGACTAAAAAATATGTTAACTCCTAAAATATATTATAGGCGAGTCGAACTTATCATCTCTGATAGGTGTGTCGAATTTGTCACCTCTATAAAAAATAATTAATTTGTCGAAACTATGGCTTAGTCGTCTTACATTCAGTATTTCCATACCTTTGTACCACACCTACATGTCGAAACACCAAGCTAAAATTCTAAGGCTGACAGATGCCCCCCAAAAAGGTCATTTTCGATTATATCTACAATATGGAAAAAAAAGGATACCATTACGATTTTCGTTGTTCATCGTTATCATTCTTGTTTTACTCAACCGGCACATCTGCAATATGCATGAATCTACCATCATAGCTCCATTTTCCAAGGCGATTGTGGGCCACAAGAATTAACCACATTAAAAAAATGAAATTGTTTAATTACTAATGTTTTTATAAATTAAAACGGTAATGGGTTTTAACTTCAGAGGGAGAAATTGGAAGATCTCACTTTAAATTTTGCTCAAGTTATCTATAAATATCCAAGAAGTTAATAGATTTAGCAACCCAAATTCATGAAGGGCATAATGTCTGCCTTAACAAACTGATCTTGGGTTCTCTTTATGAACCCTTATGATTTTCTTCTCTTGAATTGAAAACCATAACCAATTCTGAAGACAAACTCTTGATTTCTGGTCTTATATGGCTCTTGCAACTTTGGCTTAATGCCACTTTTGAACCCTCTCAGAAAGTTACCATCCTGTCTGATTTAGCAATCCAGGCCAAAGAATACTAGTTGAAGGTACCAGGCTCACTCTGCTGACCCCATATGATATTGGCTTATCAGCAAAAGAAGCCTTCACCAAATATTTCTTATGTATGTGAGTTGTACCAGATTCGTTTCCTTTGTGGTAATATTAATCAACCAATTAATTAAATATCAACCAAATAACAACTTAGCAACTTAAATCAACATTTCTCAATAATTCGCAACTTCAACAATTTCAACAACATTTTCAACCATTAATCTGTAATTGATTTAATTAAATAATCAATTAAATTAATTGGCGTTACAACTCTCCCTCACTTAGAATATTCTTGTCCTCGAAAATCTATTCGATACTACCACTCTTAGCACGAGTTTCGCCTCCAACTCATTGATTTCCAAGTCGCGTTTGGCAACACTTCGACCACTACTTTCCTGATAACTCAATAACTCAACACGATTCAAATCGATTACACACATGCCAATCATTCAACACTTTGTAACACAATCGTTACTAGCATCTCAACTACTCCACCATAATCTGACATATCAACATTTAAAGTTGCAACAACTATAACACACTTATACTTGGATATACATCATTTCAATATCCTCTTAACACTCTTTGCAACACCAAAACACATACACAATTTCATCCCCGTATGTCAATTATCAACAAAATATCAACAACTCTACTCGTATCGTCATATCACTCTTATAGCGACATCAACACAACCAACATAATCAACTTCATCACGTTATAGAGTATCATTCCTTACTTACGAAAATCAACAATAACATCTCAATAGCGATAACAAAATCATTGCAACATAAGCTTAATTGTATAACTCAACAAGCATATCCATAGCTCACTATCAACCAACAATCCACAACAATCTTCTTATAAAATCCGCAAATATTTAATAGCAAACATAATACCCTGGCACAATATCTCTATATCAATAATCCACCAAATCAAGCATGTAGATTAAGACACACCGTTCCCATAGGCTTCTGATGTTTTAATCATTCACTTCTAACGAGTCGTACATATTGTAGCAACTGATTTTTAAATCAGAGCCGTCGCTATTAGTTTTTATCCTAAGAAAGAGAATCTAACAGAAAACCCTAATTCGCAGACAGAGATTCTAAGTTTAGGACTCAATTAGACAAAAGGAAGGTGTTAGGCACCTTTCATCTACCTTGTTCACAAGGATGTTAGATTTTAGGTTTAGGTTTGGGGTAAACAGGGTTTTAAGTTTTAATTAGGAGGATTCGTCACGATTATTGATCGTATGCCTACGTATCCTCTTATGAGGAATCAGAGTCCCAATTCGTAGTTCGTATGGGGTTGGTGTTTTTTAGGGGTTTGCAAATATATTATGAATCACCTTGCACTTTGGTCGAGAATAGTGATTGTGGAGATTTTGACTAAATACGCGGTAAGTCAAAATTTGTTTGAAATCCTTTTGGAAAAACAGTTGATTAGCTTAGTTTATTGCAAAGAAATAGTTTAATGATTTGTTTGTGTTTTTTAATCATATTAATTGTGAAAATATCTTGATTAATGCATGATTAAAAAAAATTTAATGCAAATAATATATAAAATAATATATGCAATTTTGATATAAAACAATTTAAATGATACAATAAATAACAATATTTACATATAATAAATGATAATATAATAAATAATATTAATAATTATTATAAAATAAATAAATAATTATGATAATATATATATATATATATATATATATATATATATATATATATATATATATATATATATATATATATATATATATATATATATATATATATATATATATATATATATATATAGAAAAAATCTATATAATATAAGGAAAATGATAAATAAATAAAGAAATAAAATAAAAAAATAATAATTTAATTTAATCAGGGGGGTGTCGTTTCTCAACTAAACAGTAAAAGGGGGTGTTGGAAGTTAGGCTCCGACTGGCCCAATTATTATTCAGACAGGGGGGTACAATTTGTTTTGAGTTTCAGTAAAGT